AAGCCATATTAAACGCAGACTACTTTAGGCCCGGAAGTAGGATTCGTCACGTCATCACTTAACGACCGGATAGGTGTAAAACTGATATAAAGCCATATAACTTAGGAGCTACAGTTCTACCATGATTGTGGATTTTCAACATACAGAAAGGACCACATAAAGATGAAACTCATCATGTCACATTTGAACTCTGACCTCTCCTACAAGGTCAATAGATTTATCTGAAGGTCAAACTGTTTATATACAAAATACAATACTATTGCCTTAAAAGTAAATACTTCACAAAGAATAGTGCTTTGTGTATTTATGTTTAAAGAAAACTTTATTACCGAAATTATAATTTTAATGTAGTTAAAACACTCCAACAAATCAAAGCCAGGATTTTAAACCTCCCACACAGTCCCGCCCACCATCACCACCACCCACACCCGCTGCAGGCAATAAAACTTCATTTTAAGTCTTTTTGTCAATTCTTTATTGTTATTTTTTTATATATTAAAAAACAAAAATCTAAATTACAACATAAATTGAAGTCATAGCACCCTAGTGCTAAAGTGACAAAAACCATCCTAACCAACATGCTAAAATCATCCATTTTTAATCAAACAGTACAAATACATGTTTCTTAAGTAAGAAATGGTAACACTAACAGATACAAAACATATAAAAGTTCAAATCTGTGCATCAAAACTGCAGTATTTCATTTTCTTCAATACATTCTTTAAAATGGTAAGCCAGCGCATTAATACCATCAGGTATAAAAGGTCACATTTAGATCATGGTATTTTGTATATGTCATAATTTTTTTTCCCTTAAACACTAAAAATAAATGAAACTGCAAAAAGGTTCAATACAAAACAAAAAGACAGTGACATAAAAAATGGAAGGTGGGTCAGCCTTCGGTAATTCACAGCTTGATGACTGAAGGCATCAATATGCCACGAAACGTGATCAGAAGCTAGAAACAGTGGTTGGCTCAGCAGTTTGGAGGCCATTTTTCCTGTAATCAAAACAGATGGAGTCAGAATAGCTGGAATAACCAATAACAATCATACAAATCAGAAAGCAGTGACAGATACAGTAAACTAGTATGTGTTTTCCTTCCTTTAGACACAATAAATATACATAGGAGTGAAAAAAATACTCATGTTTGTTTCCAGGTAGCTAAGATAGATAAATGTAGCATCAAAATTCATTGAAAACAGCAGCTCAGTTAAAAAGATATTCTCAGCAAGTCAGATAAACGTTATTTATGTCGGGTCTATTAAATGTGATTATATGTGTCGTAGGTGATAAAGCTCCTTACTTTTGCAGAGTGTTGAGAAGGCCTGGAAACCACTTGGCCTCTGGATCGACACAAATCTTGTTACCATTCCTCACGGTGACGCTGTGAAGAAATTAAAAACGAAAAATTATCACATTGCACACATTTGATTAAACCTGACACAGACTTAAAAGTAAGAAATCGAAGCACAACTTTCCCTTTTGCTTTCAGTTTACAGATCTGTGTACCAAAATGACACCAGACATCAGACCAGTGAGAGTTATAATAGAGTTGCCAGGGGCTCTATTGAGTGTAAAAGCTTTAAAAATAGTGCAACATTTAACAAATATATACTGATTTGCTTTTTTGCCAGTTTCAACTTTCTATTATAAACTTTCACTTCAAGCTTCAGGAAAACATTAGATTAGCACAGTACATGTGAATTATTAGCTAAAATGTACTCATAACTTTCCTGCTCTGGCTTTGTAGCTAATACCAAAGAGTATTTCAAATTGATGCTCTTTTTAAATTTACCCTGCGCCCCACTGAGAATCTGTGCAACCCAGTGCTCCAGATCAGTGGCAAGTACTCACATGATTTCAGTTCGGGGGCAGTGTCCTGAGGCAGGAGTCACCTCGATCTTCTTGACTGCTCTAGGAGGAATAGGATTCGCGACCGTCCGCCTACAGCGGCAGGTGTTGAGGGCAAAACCTGTAAAAAAGGATTTAGTTATTATTTTAGTCTTTAGTAGATTAAACCAGTCTGACTTTGTTAAGGCTCAAAATTACTATGCATCTATGTATGTTTGTACAAATCTTGCAATTTTCAGTCCCATTTCAAAATTTTCAAACCACTAAGATGCAGCTGAAAGCCCCAGTGAAACCAGTAGATGGATCTGTTGCTCAGTCAAACAGCGGTCTTTACGGTCAGGTATTACCCTTGACACTCAAAACAAGTGTCAAGGGTAATACCTACAACCTACTTAAAAAGCTTGTTTTTTTTTATTGTACTGTACTTTAATGCATTTAAAAAAAAACCCAGAATAAATAAACTATGACATCATGTGAACCAAGACAAGATAAAATACATTTAAAGACGGTAAATATGAATAAAATAATGACCTCAAAATCAAATGGCATATTTTGGCTTACTTTTCTTACCATGCAGAGATGCGATGCAACAGCAGAAAGTCAGAGCGACCAGCAGGAGCAGTGGCTTGTTCATCTTCGTGATGGTTGTTTTGATCTTTGAGGACCAGTGAGGATGCAAGAGTGAAAGTCTGAGAGTGAATGAAGTGGAGTGTGGGTTTATAAAGCTGAAAAAGAGGAAGTAAGGAGGGGAACTCTTTGGCGGTTTTTTTTGTAGTTTTTGCTGACTGAGCTAAATATGGCAAACACCCCATTTCATCGCCACTTACAGTATAAAAAACTGAGTCATGAAATAAAATTATAAATATAATTTCATATTGTTATATAATAACGTTTTATTATATTGTATTTAGGTTTATATCTAAATGTAAATGTAGTGTACAATTAATTTTGGATTTCTTTGATTACTAGATGTCGGCTCCAAATTTAAGGCTGGAGGTAAAACTCAGACACCTCATCAGTCTAATAGTGCTGGATTGGACATCCCTGAGATTTTGGTCCACATTGACACAATAGCATCACACAGTTGCTGCAGGTTTATCAGCTGCACAAGATCCACCATTCTTCCATATCCCAAAAGTGCTCTATTGGATTGAGATCAGGTGACTGTGGAGGCCAGCTGAGTACAGTAAAGTCACTGTGATGTTCAAGAAACCCGTTTGAGATGATCTGAGCTTTGTGACATGGTGAGACAGAAGCAGCGATCAGAAGATGGGTACAGTGTGGTCATAAGGACATGGTCAGAAACAGCACTCGTGTTATTTAAACTAAAAATAAATAACCCCTACACCATTAAACCATTACTACCAGCTTTGACTGTTGATACAGGCAGGATGGATCTGTGCTTTCAACAACATTTTCCAGTCAGGGTCCAGTAAGTAGTCAGTAAACGAAAAACCGAATCCAGGCAGGAAGACTCACAAGAAAGGATTTCAGACAATCAAAAGGGGAAGATGGCACTATTTATACTCTATACATACAGATAAATGAGACATAGGTGCACACAATGGACACAATCACAGGGGAGGGAAAAGTACACACAAAGCACAAGACACAAAGGAGTACGGAAAAAAAACAGGGAGCAACTAATACAAAGATTAAACACACACCTATGTATTGCAGGTTTACACTATGGGAAGGCTTGAAAACTTGTACTAGAAAGTCAAAAACTAGTTTCTCTCATGTGACTGGATAATTAGATGTTTGTGTTATTGAACAGGAGCAAACAAAGCAATTAGTGTATATTAGCAAATATCCTTTGAAGTTATTCTGGAAAAGGAAAAGGATGGTGTCAGACAAACTGCATTTTCTCTGTTCAGGCTCTCTTATATTCACCATAGTGCACTTTGAACCCACAACCAAAGGAATTGTGACCCATTTGGCTTTCACGGCATTAACACAAAATATTAGATGTTTCATAGCTGTGAAATGACCAATCAGTTACAGCAAGTACAACCAAACATGCTCTGGGTGGAGGGCCAGCAGGCCAAAAAACATATACTAAGGTGGTGCATCGTGGCTTTTCTTTAGGAAGGCATGGATATAAAACTGATGACTGGACAGTTCTGTAAACTGCAACTGTTGTGGTCAAGATTCGTGGAAATTCAGGCCAGAACAGATTTAGTATTGGTACTTCACACTGGGTTTAACCTGCCTGGAATCAGGAACAGAAAATACAACAGTGGTGCTTAAGAACAACCAGACTTGGCACAGCAGCACTTCTGTATTTGCCTCTGAGGGGCTGCTAACCACTTCCTCTTCTGTCAAGTTATTAAATGGGGGATCTTGTCTCTGACCCTAAAATTAGACTCTGCTTCTCGTATATGAAAATGAGATGTACATTCCAGCAACAAATAAAAATGATCTATGTGCAGTAAATGTTGGGGACCCCCCTGATCAATCAATCTTGTGGTTGGATAGAAGAGAACACTAAAAAAGTCTACCCAGCATGCCACATGCACCTGCCTACAATGACTGTAATAAATTCAATATTCAACACTTGTGTTGCATTTCGGGGAGTTGCAGTGGAGAATAACAGGAAGGGACTGAATAACACCAGCGCCACTCAATCCTTATATAAAAGACAGTGTTTGTGCTCTGATTATACAGTTTTGATCTGGTGTAATTAAGTCTAAAAATTCCCAACCTTGTAATTTTTCCACAACTGTAAACCCAAATTTAAATATGGTTTTCTACTTCCCCCCTTCATAAAATCTCTGTGGGGTGACTTTATTTGATGTGTGGCTGTAATGACTGACAAGCGTCCCTGCACAGGTAGCTGTAGCTGCTGGTGTCTGGAAGGCCCCGTTCACTTTTGCAGTCATCACACTGGACCTCTTCCATCAAAAATGCTTTTCTTTAAAAATAAAAAAAAGTATAATAACCCACAACACTTCTAAAACGCATTTTAATGGATTATCTTACAAAATTAAGATTCAAAATGTTCAAAACCAGTGGGTGATGTCAGCATGTCCATCCAGTCTGTCTATTGTTTAGCATGCACCGAAGCTTTTATTTTGAAAATCTCATATCTTCTCTATACTGTTCTTGTGTTTGACTTCCTGTCCAGCTTTCATGAAAGTCTGATTCCCAGAGTTAGTCTCTAGAGTCTCCATAGACAAACAATTGCAACGTGGTGAAACTTAAAATTAGGTAAAGTTGACAAAGTGCAACACAAACTACAAACTGTTCACCTTCAAAGTAAAAATTGCGCATTACAGCTCCAGCACACGTGCTTCAAACTGTGCATGTTTTATTTTGCAGATGAATGGTCTTTATTTCCAGTTTGCATTGAACTTTTCAGTGTCACTCCCATTCAGTGACTATTTTTGTGAGTGTTTACAGACAACTTATCGTTTTCCATGCAAACTACTGTGAACCACATCAACCTGTTAGTTACCAGAGCGACATTAATGACTGCCAGCAACCTCCAGAAACTCTTGGCTACACTCTCCTGTGTTGTTTTCCACCAGTCGCAGCCGATGGCTGCCCCTCCCTGAGCCTGGTTCTGTTGGAGGTTTCTTCCTTTCAAGAGAGAGTTTTTCCTCCCCACTCTCTCCAAGTGCTTTCTCACAGGGGTGACAGGGGCGCTTTGGGTGCCTTGAAAAGCGCTATATAAATCCAATCCATTATTATCATTAATATTGTAGGTTTTTACCTTGCAGCATAAAGCAATACAGTAAAAATAGTTTTACAAACTGTAGCACAGAACAAACTGGTGAGGCATGGACATTTCCTTTGGGATTAATAACATATTTCTGATTCTGACATAGAGGGTTTTCTAAAAAATTTAATATCTAGACTCATTTGTGACGCTGCTACTCACAGGTCAATAAGGTCACAGTTGTTTTGTTTTGTTTACTCCAGCACTTCTAGCATTGTCATTTTATGTCACTTTTGCACTTATGGTCCATTTTGATTCAGGTTTAGGTTGGCATTAGGGCAACTAAAATTTATGCTAACTTATGCAAAAAAACAAAAACAAAAAACTCTTAGCTGCATGATGGGTGAGCTGTACTGTAGTCATCAAGTCAACTCCTCGGAGAACCCTTTACTCATGAGGTGACAAAACAGTCACCTTATGCAATCGTAATTTTCCTAACTAATTTCAAGCATTAAATCTTATTCAGCATATTCAGTTTCCCATTTCTTTATTATACAGAATAAGGGAGTAGCAATGTTGATTCCTTTTCATTTTTCTGAGTAAAAAAGATTGACCTTTATGTTACTACTTTTAGAAAATTATGGCAATTCCTCTTTTGATTGAGGGATTGACTGAGTCATTAAGGATTGTCTTAATTTACACAATCAATATTAAGACATGAAGACAAACGACATCTTTTTACCGGCTCTAATTTTGTGTTTCAAACCTTCTGGTTTGTACTGACTAATTACCGAAACCAAAACTGTCAAGGTGAAGGAAATGCTTCTCTAATAAATATATCCTGAGTCATTCACGAATGTGCTTTTGCATAGAAACGATACTTCACACCATCTCTGTGATAAACAGGAAACTGCAGATGCCAACGCATGTGTGAAATGTAACGTTTCCTTAAAGTAGAAAAATCCTTAATTTGACACAGAAAGAATGTCCGACACAGAAAGGTCTGTTGACGGTGTATAGGATTTCCTTTAAATATTAAAATGTACAGTGGAGATCGACAGAGTGGGAGAAGTGATTGTTTCAGTTTTTGTTTTGATCACATACAGTGGGGCAAAAAAGTATTTAGTCAGCCACCGATTGTGCAAGTTCCCCCACTTAAAATGATGACAGAGGTCAGTAATTTGCACCAGAGGTACA